TTTAGATACGTTATTTTACTCTGCTTTTCTTCTGCCAGGAGAAAAGGTGTTCAGCAGAGCTGGGCAAACACCCATTGTGCATGAGGCCTAAAACAAAACCGTAGTTAAGTGACTGACAATTAAAAAAAAAAAAAAAAAGAGCAGAACTGAAGGCAAAAGATTCAAAGCTGCAAACAGGCAAGCTCTTTATTGCAGAAGAGACTTGTTATGTCTCTTCTGCAATAAAATAAACTACCTGCCTGTTTGCAATTCTCTGTAGAATGTATACACACATGACATGTGCAGACATTCACAGCTCCATTTACATTTCCGGTACAGTGACATGACAGTGTTCCCGGGATGAATGGCTCCTGCTGATACGTGTGAGTGACATCATCCGACATCGGCTAAGCGAACAGACGAAGACTGGCACCAAGAAGAAGCCACAGAACTCATGATGTCACCAGCGAGGACTCACGTGCTTTGTATCATTGGAGCATAAGTGAGTGTATTTGTGCCTTTAGCTCTACTTTAACATATCGAGCATTTTACATTATTTTGAAAACCGATATCATTATTTTGGTAACCTATCACTCTTTAAAATTAAAAGCTTAGTAATGATGTCCAACCACATTGGCTTTAATCAAAATCACAAGAGCTGCAATGAGGGTACAGTCCAGGAACGTCCATAGAGAAATATCTGTTCAGAAGTTAAACAAAATTGCAATTTGATGTTTTAATAAATATACCAGCCAAAAAAAAGCTATAAAAAAGTTTAAGAAGGAAAAAATAAATCACAGAATATAAAAAACTACCAGTTGATGAATCATAAATATTCTCCATGCTAAAGAATGGGAAAAAAGTAATCAAAAGCAAAAACTACAGACAAGTAAAGCAATACCACTAAAAAGAAACATTATTTTAACTTGTGACACTTGCAGAAATATATTCAATGATCAGTTTTAATCTTTTTTCATGAAGAATGAAATTTTAAATCTAGACCTTTCTTGGCATTTGGCTGTAGGGACAGGATATAAAGCACCAGAGTGTTTCTTGCATTAAACCCCTACTGTCTCTATCACATCAATTAGCTAAAAGCAAGTTACAAATTGTGTTTAGCCACTTAGAATGTCAGAGACTTGCAGGCAACTGCCAGGTTTACTCAGATGTCCCGCAGTGTCCTCGGTCCTACAAACTAAAACAGACGGCACACTATTAATATTTAGGACTAAGAGAAAATGTCTCTGGCTATCCATTAGGGGAGTATCTTCTTGTTAGATTTAAAACATTAACCTTTTACTGCTTATGGTCGCTGTTTGAAATCAAATGGCTAAGGCACTAAATGTGCAGCAAATAAAATGTTTTTCTGTGAAGATGTTTACCAAATGAGACAACCTCATGAAATTCTCAGTACAACATTACAAATAAGTATTATTCTCAAATGAGAAATTGTCTTTCACTGACTGATCCCATACATTCATTAAAAAAATAAGATTTCATTTTTTTTTTTCATTTTCCATAAATAAACTTTAGTTAAATGGAAAACATGTTACTTTTTCAAAGTGAATCTAATGCTAAAAATCAAAAAAATCACTTTTTTTTTTTTTTTAATTGGATAGAAGTGACACAAACCCCTATCAGGGGGTTTGCTCTCTCTATTTGTCTGGTAACCACTGTCCTCAATAATTAAAATGAGGGAAAATAAACAATTCAGAGTTATCACTAAAACAGGGATAGAAGGGAAATCTAGTGGGATTTTGTATTCCGGTAACAACCATCTTAATGCAGAACTTTACCCATATCAACTTAATAAAAAATAATGTTCTTTAGTAAGGAACAGACATTGCGCATTAAATAATTATGCTACCAAAATTAGTGTGTGATGTAAATTGCCTCCAGCATTCCTCCCGTTTCTTCCTACTGAAACCCAGGGCCTCTGAGCAGCAGTAAAACGTTAGGCTGTCAGCAGATCTTTCGGCACATTGCCAAAAAACAAAGAGTAACTGCGCATGTGCAGAGCAGGGCGAGACCTTGTAGAACTGGAGTTTGAACAGTAAAGGTGCCTATTGTTAATGTTTTTACATAGTTAGACCTGCAAAGGGGCCATCATGAAGTAATCTGTAGGGAACCTGTGTCAATAGACTTTTGTTTGCATTCAATTGGTTTTGCATTTCAATACAAGACTATGGGAATGCAACACCTATTTGAAGTGGGCTAAATGAACCAGGCAGTGAATTCTTAATGATATCAGACATACCTAAAAATGGATCCCATCAACAAAAGCCCAAAGCCTGTCGACATCTGTTGTGTCCCATTAGAGTGTGATGGGGAATCTCGGTATTATGACACAGATGTCAGAAAAGAAAAAAAAACAAAAAAAAAAACTTGTGTTTTCTGTACTCTATCCAAAATGCAAAAAATAAATAAATAAGTTTCTGCTTTGAAGGAAACGTTTGGGGTTTTCACAAATCCATACTCCATGCTGCAGCATTGGTCTGATGCTGCAGTTGTCCCCATTGGCTATAGACCTAAGAAATTATCACATGACCACTAAATGCTCAGTTCTTGGTCAGCCCCAAGCAGAGCGTGGGGACAGTCAGTCAATGCTCTCTGCTCTTCCTCTTCAGGTTTCCAAGCTGCGGCAGGCTGGTGAGGGGGGCAGAAGCAAGCTGGCTTCAGCTCTCAGCCTTGTGCTGAGAGACGAAGTTAGCTGTCAGTCAGGCAGATTGGGTGGATGCCAACAATATGGTTGGGATACTTCCAGAGCCTGGAGTGGCTCTGTGACATCAGCTGGCAGCAGGTTTTATTCAGCTCATACTGAGCCACAGGAGTGCAAAAGCAAAAACAAAAAAAAGCTTTGGTCATACTTTTCTTTTAAATATACTTCAAACATGGCTACAGAGAATGCATTCAGTTTGTCTTGGTGCAGTAAGTGTTAACAGAATGGAGTGAACAGTAAAAAGCACTCATCAAGAGAATCCAAACTGTGCCCACCCTTCTCCTATATAGCTATACTTCTCTATAGCCTTAACTACAGCTTCTATGACTGATAAAAAACACCTATGAATGGGTGGGGGTGAAAAGTTTGCCCCCTACATTCATAAAAGTTGTAATACGTCTTCTATGAAAGGAGGAACTGGGCAAAAAGGGTGGGCATAGTTGGGCACTCTTGATGAGTGCCTCTCACTGCTCCCTCTCTTCTAACCCTCACCGCACTGGAGGAATATGGTGGTGGTGGCAGTGGCATTGATTGAGCAGGATTTCAGTTAACAGAAGAGACAACTCAGCACAAGAGACACATCCTACTGACTGTAAGTAATGTTTATTGTGCTGATTTTTGTTTTTTTTTTTTTTACTGCACTCTAGGTTTTAATTTGCTGTTATCTTAAACTAAGCTTTTTCATTATAAAATTTTAGTAAAGCAGTCTCCTAGTTGCTGGTCATAGGGGATCACCAATACCAATAATAATTAAAATACATGACAACCATTTCACGTGCCCAAATAAATACTACAATGGCCAAAAATGAATGATTTTTGAGATAGAGTTGACAAAGATTTAAAAAAAAAAAAAAACATTTTGTGAACTGTCTTTAAATGTTATTTATTAAAATGGTGGCAAGTCATAGAACAGCAGAAATATATTTATCAATCAACTGATGCAATGCAAACCATTTTAAAAGGTATCTCATTGTCATTTCCAATTATTTGTCCTTTGCAAGTTAACAGGTATATTTTAAACTGTTATTACCCTGGGTGCTAATGTTTGTACTGATTGCTTTACTCACTCAATAGTGTTTTTCTACGGAAAATTATATAGAAAACCATTTTCACCAACAGCTTCCCTTTTATCTACTGTTTGCAGCAATTTGGATATAAAAACATCACAATATCCTTTATTATTTGTTCATCACTTTAAGAATATTTGTCTACAATGCCTAAATTTGGCGCCCATCTATGGCCAGCCTAATTATACGAAGCCTATGATTTACATACCCTGCCCTACTTGATAGTTTTAGGCAACAACACATTTCAAAGTCAGCAAACCATCCAATGGAACTGAAACCATCTGCATTAACTACTCACTTCAGTCAGTCTAAAGCCCCATACACACAGGCCGAATATTGGCTGGTTCAATAAAACTGACAAGAGGCGGTTTTATTATGGCCAGCTTCATCTCAAAAGGGAAATGCTGGAAAAACCAGCATCCGATCGGACCCCCGATCAGTGCTGGCAAGCCATTGGCTGCCAGTGCTGACCAGTGTATTATGGCAGAATGTAGATTGTTGTACTAACATTAGATAGCTAGTACAGCGAGCTCCTCCAAAGCTCTTCATTTTTTTTTTTTTGCCTTCATCAGCCCTGTGGGTTCAAAAAAAAAAAACCAAAAACGTATAGTGTGTACCCAGCACGAGTATATGAATGAGCATCAGCACACTAATTAGATACTGCATTATGCTCATTCCCTGTGCAATAACCCCTCATAATTGAGTGTAAAACAAATCTTAATGCCTGAACATTGTGTTCAGGCATTAAGAATAGTTTTAAATCTTTTCAACTTATACAAAATGTTAGTAAAACTGTACATATATTTTTCAGGACAAAAATTGGGCTTTCATTGGGTGGTAAAATGGCAATGGATTGCTCCTGATTTTTTTTAATCAAAGGAAAACTGGCAAGAATAGTAAAAAAAATATATTTATATGAGGAATCTAGTGGAATATCACTATAGTGGTGTGTGTACTACCATTTTTTTTCCAGCTTCCACAGAGAACCCACAGGAATGGCACATACACACAATGTATAAAGCTGGACCCATGTAACTATGTAAAGATTGTCACACTTAAACCCCAATACTGAGCTACAATAATTTGCGTCTTTCATATTTGCTTTGAGCTCAATGTTTGAGTGTTATCTGATTGCTAAATGTTCTTATTTACCGTATTTTTTTCGCTACATAAGACGCACTTTTTTTACCCCAAAAAAAGGGGGGAAATGTCAGTGTGTCTTATGGAGTGCCGGTTCCGGTATTTCTGCCGCCAGCACCATGTCAGAATACCGGGCTCAGCTCTTCTCTGCAGCAGGACCTTACCTGTTCCTCAGTCCAGCGCTGTACAGTCTTCCCTCGCCGGCATTTTTAGTGTGGGCACCCGGCTGCGCAAGAAGCGCTGCGCTTTGTGAATGGCCCGGTGTCTTCTGGGACCTGTCATGTTGGGCCATTCACAAAGCGCAGCGCTTCTCGCGCATGCGCAGTGTGCACCCGGCTATCACAGCCGGGTGCACACAGTAAAGGGAGGACAACTCCACGGATGTGGGAGCGGGTACCTGTCAAATTCAGGTACCCGCTCCCCCCGTCCCTCCCCAAAGGTCCACAGTCTCTTGGTCATCTCCTGTACTGTGTCCGCAGTCTCTGGTCATCTCCTGTACTGTGTCCGCAGTCTCTGGTCATCTCCTGTACTGTGTCCGCAGTCTCTGGTCATCTCCTGTACTGTGTCCGCAGTCTCTGGTCATCTCCTGTACTGTGTCCGCAGTCTCTGGTTCATCTCTCCTGTACTGTGTCCGCAGTCTCTGGTCATCTCCTGTACTGTGTCCGCAGTCTCTGGTCATCCCTGTACTGTGTCCGCAGTCTCTGGTCATCTCCTGTAACTGTGTCCGCAGTCTCTGTTCATCTCCTGTACTGTGTCCACATTATCTGGTCATCTCCTGTACTGTCTGCAGTCCATTGGTTCATAATTTTTTTTTCTTGTTTTTCTCCTCTAAAACCTAGGCGCGTCTTATTGTCAGGTGCATCTTATGGAGCGAAAAATACAGTATATTTTTATAGTAATATAGTTAAAGGGTTACTAAACCCAGGACCCTGCATTCACTATATCTGGTCTCCTACAGTACACAGAACATGGAAATGCAATTATTTTAGTAAATATTAACTGCTGAATACCTTTTCTCATCAGCAGTTAGTGCAGTCTCATGACTTCTATCAGTGTTCAGCAGAGCACATGTTAAAGATTATAGGAGTTTTCTTTCTGCTCTAGGAGGATGCAGAACCCCTGACCCTCTGGACAGTTCTGATTGGCCCTGTGCTTATCACATGCACTCTCCCAAGAAAAAAAAAACTCCCTGAGCATGTGCAGAGTGTTTCCACACGTTATGTCTTATCAGGATATAAGAGGAGGCACTGGAAGAAGGGGAGGATCAGAGAAATCAGATCAAACAGCATTTTTTAGACAATGCAGAGTATTAACCCCTTAGCTTCCACAGTAAGTATAAAAAGCATGCTTTACTGTGTATATAAATTAATTTTACTGTAGTGGGTTTAGTAACACTTTAACTTTAAATAGCTTTTTGACATATACATTTTGCATTGGAATAGACCACCAACAGAACTGTACACATTACAAACAACAGCTATTAAAAACTAAAACACTCTTTTGTATAAAACCACAAATACATTCTAGGAAAATCAAGTTGTGCTCAGGGAACAGGACAGGTATTTATTTTTAATTTATTGCATGCAAATTTAAGTGTCAAACAAAGCCTGGTGGTCATTAAAATGATTAATAATGTTTTTGCTGCCCTTGACATGAAATGGTTTAAAGAAAATGCCAATTTACACAGGTAAACTAATGAATACTGATTACATAATGGCTGAAGGAGAGGGGCAACCCTTATGCAAATTAGCTATGTGAAAACAAGAATTATGACAAAGAACCAGTACTTCTGATAATCAAGGAAGTAGGGCTAATCGAACTTCTTACTAATGTGCAAAATCTATTCATTTCATTTTGTTATTCCCACATATCATGAGGTTTAGGACTGGACCCAAAATCTTTCCCCAACAGGTTATCTTTGCTGCATCTGGTTTGTATACACTAACACATGAAATAAGCTCCTCTGTAGCTAGATCTGACTCTGACCTACCTTCTAGTATTAGTAAATCTTTCCTCTCTGGTTGCAGGTTTAACAAAGAAGAAAGAATATGGTTACTGCACAGGTTTTCTACATTGGTAATCTTTTGTGACCTTTAATAAAATTCTGGTGCCATCTTCAATTACAGAAATAACCCGGATGACACTATACAAATTACTTAGCTTGCATGAAGCAAATCTGCTGAAGGAGAACCAAAATTATAATACTATACAGCAGGTTGTTATATCCAAATACCCATTAGTGAGGTATCAGTGTTTATGATGCCTTCTATTTAAAGATGATCTTTTTTTGCATACTTACACTGGTATAGCTTGGACCCATGTAATATGTATATCACAGCTGGGGACGTCAACAATCACTGTAGCAGTCAGTGCTGCTAGAATGATAGCTGCATCTTTCAGGTCCTGTGCCAAACAGGTTCCATTCTGCACACTGATCAAAGGGTGGGAGTTGGTCAGTTACTCGGAACACAGCCATCATTTCCAAAATGTGCTATTTCTTTTTTTTTTTTTTCAATGAATACCACCATTCTTTGACTGGACAAAGTGGAGATCATGACATAACCAGCCCTCTTCCCTAAAAGCACAAAGACCCAGCAATGACATTACTTGGTCTAAAATACACTATATTATCAAATGTATTGGGGAAAACCCCTCCAAATCATTGCATTCAGGTGTTCCAATCACCTCCATGCCCACAGGTGTATAAAATCTAGTACCTAGGCATGCAGACTGCTTCTACAAACATTTGTGAAAGAATGGGTTGCTCTCAGGAGCTCAGTGAATTCAGATTGCCACCTGTGCAAGAAGTCCATCTGTGAAATTTCCTTCCTACTAAATATTTCACAGTCAACTGTTAGTGATATTATAACAAAGTGGAAGCAACTGGGAAGAACAGCAACTCAGCCACTAAAAATGACAGAGCGGGGTCAGTGCATGCTGAAGCACACAGTGCGCAGAAGTCACCAACTGTCTGCAGAGTCAATAGTTAAAGACCTCCAAACTTCATGGGGCCTTCAGATTAACACAACAACAATGCGTATAGAGCTTCATGGAATGGGTTTCCATGGCCAAGCAGCTGCATCCAAGCCTTACATCACCAAGTGCAATGCAAAGCATCTAATGCAGTGGTGTAAAGCAAGCTGCCATTGGACTCTAGAGCAGTGGAGACGTGTTCTCTGGAGTGCCGAATTACACTTCTCTGGCAATCCAGTGAGTCTGGGTTTGGCTGGGGGTTTTTAGGAGAATGGTACTTACCTAACTGCATTGTGCTAAGTGGAAAGTTTGGTGGAGGGGGATTATGGTGTGGGGTTGAGCTTGGCCCTTCAGTTCCAGAGAAGGAAACTCTTAAGGCGTCAGCATACCAAGACATTTTGGACAATTTCATTCTCTCAACTTTGTGGGAACAGTTTGGAGATGGCCCCTTCCTGTTCCAACATGGCTGAGCACCAGTGTACAAAGCAAGGTCCATAAAGACATGGATGAGCGAATTTGGGGTGGAGGAACTTGACTAGTCTGCACAGAGTCCTGATCTCAACCCGACAGAACACCTTTGGGATGAATTAGAGCAGAGACTGCAAGCCAGGCCTTCTCGTCTGACATCAGTACCTGACCTCACAAATGCAGTTGTGGAAAAATGGTCAAATATTCCCATAGACACACTCCTAAACCTTGTGGACAGCCTTCCCAGAAGAGTTGAAGCGGTTATAGCTTCAAAGGGTGAGCCAACTCAATATTGAATCCTACAGACTAAGCCTGGGATACCATTAAACTTCATGTGCGTGTAAAGGCAGACGTTCCAATACTTTTGGCAATATAGTGTAAGTTACGAAAACATACGTTTTATTTAAACATTTCATTGACACATTGATTGGGGAGGTGGGGGTGCAAGGAAGTAAAAATAAAAGCAAATTAAACTTCAGCTACTTGCAGTACTTACTGTGTCATGTCAACAACTACTTATTTTACATAGCGGGCACAGATAGGTTTATTGCTCATGTTTTTAAACAGCAATAAAAGTCATAAATTTAGCATCTTTGTATATATTTTCTTGGATTCATCACAAAAGAGTCAAGAAGGAACAAAGGGGATATTTGGTGTAATAGGAGGGAAGGGAGTATGAAAGTCTTAGGAAATAATCCTAAGACCGGCCAATGGATAGAGAGTCCATGCTGACCAACCCTCTGTTAGTGCAGCCTCTCAGCGGGACCACAGCCTCATTCACCTGGTGGACTGGGAAGCTGACTTCCCTATTATTTACATGCTTTTCCTTACACTTCACCATGTGAGTGCAATCATTTTAGCCTAATAAAATACTTTTTAACCTGCTACACTTAGGTAGCGCTTGTCCCCATCCCCTTTTATAAAGGTAAGGAAGCTTGCTTTGATTAACTGGGAGGTCGACTTTCAATGTTACCTCTTACATTGTAAAGTACAGGCACCGATAGACTAAACAAACATAAAACTCTAAAAATAAAAAGTTGAAAATCATACTCTCTTATTGAAAATACACAGCATATCTAAATAACTGCAATTCGCCCATTTTGTTATATTCAGTTTACATCACCTAACATCCATCTTCCGTTTAGTTCAGGTCACATAAATTTTTTCATCCATTTACATCCGTTTCTTGTACTCTTCCTTTTTTTAAACAGAGCAAAAATGCAGACTTGAACTGTTAAAATAACAGACCTCAATGGAAGCAGCCAAAAAACTGATGTAAACGGATAGGAATGCATCAACAGGATGGAACGCCCGTGTGACAGAAAGTCTTTCAAACAGTGGTGTTTAAAATGCATGCTTAACACCTATCAAACCCCCCCCCCCCCCCCGCCACTGGGTGTGAAAGAGTGTACTGAGCCAAACCGTTAGCAGGTCCTAGTGTCATACAGCACCTATCTGAACAGGGTATGCAATGTTTGGGACACACTATTCCATTCATTGATTTCTTCTGACAGGCACCTAATGGGAGAGCATGAACAGCCCCTTTTCACTTTAGTGTGTGCACTGTGCCTAGAGCGAACCTACATTATTACACACCTTAAAATTCACAACAATGTGCTGTGTACATGCATTGCAATGCATTGCAGTGCATTGCCAATCATTCACTGGACACTTGGCACCCAGACACACATACGTGGCCAAAACAAACTCAACTGCAACACCACATGTATTGAAGAAAACATGCCTTGCCTTGCAGCATGAATGAAAAAATACAAGATATACATTTTATCCTGTCGACATTTGTTGCAGGCCCACTGAAAATTAACACATTGCCAATGTATGAAAATACAAGCATAGGTGTTGGGCCCTAATATTGAAGGATAAACTTAGCCTTCACAGCATACGCACCGGATTAACCTCAGCATCCAACTCAAATGGGAACTTATGCCTTTAGTGAGTAAATGCTTCTCCCATGCAGGACAAAGGAATGGGTTCACTTCAATACATACCTCTGCAACTGCCCCCCCTTGCTGCCCAGCTGCTCCGTTTGAAAACAGTGCTGTCACATAAGAATCACCAGCTACGTGTAAGCTCCAGTTGAAATTTTAAGCCAACATAGTACTCCTCTGA